GGGGCCCCCCCCCCCCCCAACTACCCAGATTGCAATCTTGGGGGTAGCTGGGTTGGGTTGGGTTCAGTGGTCTACTGTGGAGGCCCAGTTTGGCTCCCCACAAAACCCCAGCAGAGGTAGCTGAGGGGGAGCATACATGATAGGGGGGGCTCCCTTCTCCCACCGCATGTGGGCATCTTGGCTGTTGTGCCTGGAGCTGGGGTGGGGAGGGCAATAGAGCCCCCCTGTCTCACAGGCCTGACCTGCCTCTTCCCAAAACCCCATCAGGGGAAGTTGGGGGTGGCCACGTGGCAGGGGGGCTCCATCCCTCCCTCTTCCCCACCCAGCCATTGCTGACAGTTGCTAGTTGGTGGTGGGGAACAAGCAAGGAAGGGACCTTACGGTACATGGGCTTACCCTGCAGTAGCTGCCTGTGTGCACATTTTCCTTTGCCAGTGAAAGGCACCTTATCTTACTTTTATTGTGGAGTAACTCAGTGGGATCAGAGGGTGCAAAGAGGCAGTTACCACAGAGTTAAAACTGAAAGTTCAGACTCTAACCTACCTCTCAGTAGCTTGTTCGTAAAGATTTTTTCAGTAAGGTAAAGTGAACGTATCTAACGATTTTTTGGAGACATTACTGAGTGCTGGATTGGGCCCTTCAAGCTACTGGTTTGCCAGGCAAACATGAGACTGAAAAGGCTCTAAAGAACTCACTGCCATTGGTTACATAAGAAATGTTCATAAAAGACCTAAAATAACCTGAGATATGTGTTTTATCTCAACCAAAAAAAAATGCTTTCTTTACTGTAAGGGTCATACAATGACAGCTCTTACATATTGGGTTACCCGCTTTTTTTTCCAAATCATTTTTACTATCTGCAGTACATGGACACAGTGAGATTCACAAACAAAAGATGCTACCTTTGCGTAAAACTTCATGTTGTGACAGCAACTTAACAGCATCAAAGACATTACAGATGGAGCTTGACTCTCCACCTTCACTTCCATACTAGTGTGCTCAGGATATCACTTTTGTTCAAAACAAAGGTGTTATCCATAACTTTTCAATTCTGTTCATTTCCCAGTTTGTGCTCATTCTTTAAACCATTCTTCGGTATTTTTTCCTTCATCTAGGGATAAATTTAACAGGAGATTGTTTCCTCAAAACTCACAACATCAATTAATTTTTAAGTTTTTTTAACATTCTTACACAGTCTTAAATGTATTCTTTCAATTGATGCCTGCGTACTGAGGAGGCTGTGTAGGCACTGATAAGACCTATTTTGTGAAGGTTTTTCAGCCAGAGGCAATACATCTGACAGGTTCATACATGGCACTGTTAATTCAGTCAACAAGAATTCAGGTTAGTTGAAATGGTGCGCAACTAAAATGGGACTGGAGATCCAGTTGTAGGTGTACAGGACCTTCATGTAAATTTTAGTTGTGATCTGTTGTTTTGAGATAATGCTTTGAAAGAAACCTTTAATGACTTTTTTGCCCCCTCTTGCAGCACTTAATGAACTGTTTGTGGACCCTACATTCAATGACATCAAGTCTCAAGATGTTACTAATATATTAGTTAACACATTCTTAGCTGAAGAAGTCAAAGAGCAACAAAAGGATTGATAAAACAATGGCTGCAGGTAAATATTTGTACTCTGCAATATTCATGAAAAATATCATTAATAACCTAATATTGTTTGCCTGGAAAGCATTAGTTTTGATGGATGTTTGTGTTCAGGGGGAACTTAATGATAATTCACTGAGAGAAATCAGATTGATTTGAGCTCTTCTTATCTAAGTACCTAAGTAATGTTAAGATTTCTGTCATAAACTGTTTTTAATGAAAAATGTGTCCTGCCTTTGTCTGTTTTGAAGCCTTAGAGGAGAGGTGTTCAACCTATCTGGTTCCAATAGCCAAATGAGTACTGCAGGACTAGTCTGCTGGCCAGATCCCATATATGTAGTTTGTCTGGCAGCCAGGATCAGTGTGAGGGTTTAATCTACAATTGTGATCTCATGTGCCGGCCCAACCCTACACACCAGATCTGACTGTGTGCTGGCCTGACCCTGCACATGGCTCAACCCTGCATACCAGATATGGTGGTACACTAGCTCCACCCTGAGAATGCACACTGGTGGGTGCATCTAGTGCACAGGGTCACATCATCTGGCCTGTGGGGCACCCTGCAGGTCCAGGAATTTGGCAGCAGGGGGAGAGCAATCCAGGAATTTGGCAGCAGGGGGAGAGCTCCCACTGTTCCCCCACCTCCAAATTTCCAGACCCATGGGGAGACCCATGGGCCTGATCTAGCCTGAATACCAGAGGTTGAACAGTGAGAACCATTATCCCTAGGACCTTGTTACACTGTAATTTTAGGTACCTTCTTTTAGGCAGTTTGGGCAGCAGCAGGAGATACTGCAGCTGCCAAGTGTCCAGGGCTGCGGCGCTCATTTTGCCCAGTGGGAGCAGTGAGCCAGTCCTGCACCTAGCTCCTCGTTCTGCCCCAGCTCACCCAGCCTCTAGTGACAGTCAAAGATAGTTTTGCATCCTAAGGTGTGACTGCTCCACTAAGCCGAACAACACGAAGCCTATTAGCATTTGTGCAGCTTATAGCATAAGGTGGAACAAGGCCCGCAGAGTCTTTACTTCCACAGAGTATTTGCTACTGATTAGATAGAATTAAATGATAAGCCCAATTGAACAGAACAATATCTTCGTTTATTGCTGATCCTTGCCTTCCATCTGCTTAAGTAACATGAATCACACTAACAAAAAATCTTATCATTTTTTGCTTTCATTGAGGTTTCCTTTTTTTAAAACCTTGCAACATGTTGATTTTTAAACTCAGATTTGGATTCTTTTCCGACAGCTGCTGACGGTTTGGGAAGTATTGCTATAGACACCACGCAACTTAACATGTCAGTCACTGATCCAACAGCTTGGGCTACTGCTATGAATAACCTGGGGATGGTTCCAGTAGGATTAGCAGGACAACAGCTTGTGACGGGTAAGATTTTGGTAAAGGTTTGCTGTGCAAGTCTCTGGATTTTTATGCTCTTCTATAAAACATCTGAAAACCTTTCTGAAGACATGTATTTGTATATTCTGAGAACAAATTCTGTAGGAGCAAAGCTTCTCTGATTAATATTGCATGCTATGTATTAGTCTCCATGTATAATATGTACATAATCCATACTGTATTTTAACCTTGTGAAACAGCCAGAATTCTTTGGGGAAATTAGAGTGCTAAACCATCGATCTCCAGGCTCTGTACTGGGTCAAGGCCTGGGGGAGGGTCACATATGGGATATATTTAGTCCTTGAGAAAAAAGGGCTGATAGTCTTTTCTAGTAGCTTTTCTTGAGGTTCTGCCAAGGAATAGCATGGGCACTGGCTGCAACCTCCTGACTGGAGGAAGATTGTTGTTATGCTGACAAAAGAAAAGTGCAGATAAAAATAGATGCTGAAAAAAATGTGAATCTCTTGCTCTCCACGTCAACTGATACCGTTTGCTGAGTGTAAAACAGAAGCCCTCCCATCATGCTTCTGCTGTTTTATACTTCCATAAATCAATTTTCAGGGGCTAATATCATTTGACTTTATTTCATTTACAGCTTATGAGAGCTCTGAAATGGATCCCTTAATCTTTCCAACAATAATACACAGAATGCTTTGCACATTAGAAATATTTCAGGTTCAACCTGCTCACACTAAAGTCTACATACATTTCCCAATTGATTTTACAAGGAGCTGGACTGGCTGGCATTGAATAAGATTCAGAGCCCTCCCATGAAGTAGATATGGTGAGCCAGGTTCCCAGCTGTCATAATTCAGCAGAGGTCTGGGTCTGCCTCATCATGGAGTTGTGAAGTTTAAATTTGGTCAAATGCATTCCCTTCTGAATGGAATTAAGCTAGCGTATGGCAGCTGACAGTCTGGCTCAGAATTAGTTCTTGTGCAGAAGGGTGACAGTGAGTTGGTCCAGATCAGGAGTACAGTCGGTGCAGATCATGAGTGGATTCCAAGTCCTTGTTCTCACCATTAGCTATCCAACATTCCCACTATACAACCTTATCCTGTTTCAGACACTTTCTCCTTTTACTGCATTGGTGCTGAGGTCTGTAGATAAGCCAGAGGGCTACACGGTAGTCTGAGCAGTACAGCATTTGAGAGAGCAGCATATTAAATTAATGCTTGTGAAATGTATAGGCAGGAACAGGGTGCATCGTATAGATTCCTCTCCCTGAAGCCAATGGAAATTGCATTCTTCCACTTTTCTGATTTTCAGGGTTCTGCCTATATGGAACCTAGAACAATCCTGCAATTTTGGAATTAATTGGATATGATGATTTAGAGCTACTGCATGACAGACAGACCAAAAGACTAATAAAGAAATGCCATCAAGATGAGGACAGGGCCTCAAACATATTCTTCCCTCCAAAACAAACAATTAAAATTCCCTTTAAATTTATTTTACTAAACTTTGACAGAATTATCTCCAAATCTAGAAATGATTTGTTTTGACTTCAGAGGCAGATGTTCTTCTGCTTCCCTTAATCAGTGCTGCAGTTGTACTTTAGGCCATCAATTCATGTGCCCCCTCTTTCCGTGGCTCCAGCTTTTGTGCAAATTCTGCCCTCAGCTTCTCATCTGCAGTCAGTGAATCACTAAGGCAAAGATATTTCACAGGCAGAAATTTGTATAATTCCTTTGTTGGAGGATCCCAGAGATTTCACTATCACCCTGATTGTTATTCTGTTTGCCTTCTTAACTATTGAGTAAATGTGAAATAAGTAAAAAAATATTTATGACTTAAGAGGAACATTTCCTTATTTCTGTTTAGGAATAGAACAGTTCCCTTTTCTCATCCACTTTGCTTTTCACTGTATAAAACATTGTATTATGTACATCCTCTGGTAAATTCATGCTTTGGCATTTTAGGGTGAAGTCGCATGTTATTTTTGACTGTACTAAGGGCACTTAAAATGTGAGCGTCTGCAGGTTAAAGCTTGTTAACTTGTGCTAAGTGTCCTCTAAGCATCTCAAACTTATGCCACTTCAGGCAAGGGTTAACTTTGGCCCATGCTCAAGTTAGTGTAACTTTACTTTGCTCCACGGAGATCAAACAAGCAATTTGCAGTCCTCCCAGCCCTCCCCAACCCAGAGCAGGTGTCTAACACTTAGCTATGCCCCTGCTCACCAGCCCTCTAGTGGCAAGTGAGAGTTGTGTAGGCAAGAGCGCTTTTTTGAAAATTTAGGCAAAATACAGACATTTGGGGAGGTTAAATTGGGTTCAGAATGACCACCCAATTTAAATTAAGCTCGTCCCAGTGCTGACCTTACACTTACAGACCCAGTCTCAGTGCCCAGAAATCAATCTAAACCTGTAACTGAAGTTCCATGCATACAAATGGTCTAGAAAGTGCAGAACCTGGTTTAAGATAAACTTGGATTGATGTAGTATAAAACTTACTTGATTTAGGTCAAACCAGTGCATGGAACTTTTATACACTTTCCCTGTGCATCCTTGGGGCTGGGAAAACCCAGTCACTGGCCTCAGCCCTGGGGCTGTACTTTTCATGTCCCCTTCTGCACTGGGCTGTTTTTTGGTCCCTGGTCCCTTGCTCCCCTTCCCCCCTCCCATTTCTGCAAGCTGCTTTTATCAGTGTTCACCACTGCCAGAGCTGAACAAGTATGGGGGGATGATAACAGTGGGAGGATGAACAGGGGTGTAGGTTCACCAGGGTCATTGGGGGGTGCAAAATAGCCTGTGATTTCCCCCAAGCTGCCCTGAAGCTCCTGCAAGCACCCTGATCCTATCAGACACTTCCAGACCCTGGCAACATCCCACAGATCATGCCTTCCCCTGATCCCATCCGTGAGTCACGCCTGCCCCTCCCCCACTCCACCTGTGGGTCATACCTGACCCCCTACCTCACCCATGGGTTGCATGTGCCCCTCCACACCACCCACGGGTTGCACATGCCTTCCCATCCCCTGGTGGACCCCAGATACCCCACTGCTAGGTCTTCTGTCCCAACTTACCTGATATCAGGCAGCAATTTGGAATCGATATAACCACCCCTGATGTCAGTACATAGCCTTAATGTAAAGCAGCTCACAGCACATTCTAACTTTACCACCACATAACATTCAGCAGATTTAGTATGGTAAGTTAACATGTAACTTCACCCTTACATTTTTCCCTATGATTTATAAATTTTTGACAGTTTTCACCACGGCAGATCCATGATTTTTGCAACAATTCACCATGAAAAGAATTACAGCCATATTTCATTATAGTACATTTGCTGTACCTGCATTGAACTACAATTTACGTCCACTGTATTGGCCTAAGTGTTGAAATAATCTTTAATCCTTCCTGACTCTATTGTTTATTGTTTTTATTAATCCTACAAACAGAGTAGACTTCTTTAGCATTCAAATATTGCTTTCTGTACCCTTCATTTTGCCTTCAGAGCAGCGTTCCTCCTCTGCTGTTCCTACATTTGATCTGCTAAAAGTTTTTAAAGTGTTTTACTCATTTTTCTTCAATTGGTATTAATGTAAATGTAGTGCAGTAGTTTGGACCTTCTGGCCTGTGGTAGAATTGTGCTGATCACCTTGCAGTCTGCAGGGCTCTCTCCTGAACTGAGTTTGTAGAAGTGACAGCTCAAGCTTCTGCAATATCTGGCCAATATTCTTAAAACAGTCTGGGATGTAGGCTGTCTGTTCTTGGTGACTAATCAATTTTAAGCACTGCTAACCTTTTAATACCAGTTTAGATGTTATCTATACTCTATTTAATTCTTTATCTCCTAGTGCTGTAAAATTGGATTTTTGATCTGGGAAGATGTCAGAGCCTTTCATTTGTAAAGTTGGATTCTTGTTAATAAATGTATAGTGTCTCTTGTTTCCTATATCCTTTGCTTCTACATCATGTTACTCAGAAAGCTTCCTCGATAATATTTGGCAACCGCACTACACGTGAGTGAATGTATCCATTCAGACATTATTTGTGTACAATCTTTGCAAAGAACGATAATTTAATAATGCATTTTAGTTAAATTGTTCAAGTTTGATGTGGCGTACTAATGGATAAATAGGCCTTTTCATTTTAAACCTCATCTTTCCAATAAGTTATGTACTTAAAAAAAAAAATTAATTACCTTTTGGGGTGAAATTTCTCATGCCTAGTCTGAGCCCAGAGGTAAAAAAATTCTTGAAAGTTTCGAGAAATCTGCTAAACAGCTTTTGAATTATCCAAGTGTTAAAAGTAGTATTTTCTGTGCTATAAGACTTTGAGAAATACTTTCTGGGGAAATACATCCTTTAATATTTCTTTCTTTCTTTTTTTTTTTTTTTACTGTTTGTTGTATTTACAGGGATATTGGGACAGGGTAATAATCTCAAATCAGAGAGGGTTTTAGCTTAGTTTTGTAGTGGGAATTTTGCAGGGTCATTTTAGCTGAATATTGTCCTCATGTTCGCATTTGTCTCAGCACTTGGCATCAGATCACCCTGTTTTTTTTAAAGAAGACAGGCTGCCTGATGATCAATTTATTTTTCTTTCTTTCTGATTGTTTTTCCCCTGAGTCATCATGTAGTAAAGTATGAAGTAGTTTTGAAATTCTTTTATCACAAGTGATTTTGAAAGTTTAGACTAGTGGTATCAAACCTGCACCAGGCTGGATCTGGACAGTGGTTCTCCTCCCAAGCTGGATCTGCAGGGGCAGTGGCTGCAAAGGCAGCTGGATCTGGCAATGGCAGGGCCAAGCACTGGCAGATTGGGGTCCAGTATGGCAGGGTGAGTTTGCCTGTGTCACAGCTCTTGCTCACGCCCTCTGCCATCAATGGCCATGTCCAGCAGGGCCCAGAAACTCCAAATTCTGCAGCATGCCATGCTGTCTCTAGTCATGCTGCCAGCTTCTAGTAGTCCTCTAATAGCCCAATGGGCCACATGGAACAGCTCTGGGGGGAATATGTTTGACATCCCTGGTTTAGACT